GTTTCACTCCTGTCACCCAGGCTGGAGTGCAGTGGCCCGATCTCAGCTCATTGCAAGCTCCGCCTCCCGGATTCACACCATTCTCCTGCCTCAGCCTCCCAAGTAGCTGGGACTACAGGCACCCGCCACCTCGCCCAGCTAGTTTTTTGTATTTTTTTAGTAGAGACGGGGTTTCACCGGGTTAGCCAGGATGGTCTCGATCTCCTGACCTCGTGATCCGCCCGTCTCAGCCTCCCAAAGTGCTGGGATTACAGGCTTGAGCCACCGCGCCCGGCTACATTTTGTTTTATAATCCACCTACAATTTAGAGTAAAACATAAAGTGAGAATCTAATTTTATATTTTTCCAAAGCATTTAGTGATTATTCCAGCCTGTCTTCAACTAAATTCAAATGCTAATTTATTCAAATTCTAAAAATAATTCATGACTGTGTTTATCTCTTGGTATTCTTTTTAGTTTTGGTGCCAACAACAGATTACTCTTATTAGAGGCATATATTTAAAAAAAGTAACGGCTAATGTTTGGCTATTTTCAAATATATATTGTTCCAAAGAATTTAATGAGTCAGATTCTGATGAATATATTAGACCTGTGATTCAAGTTGTATTAGATTTGACATCTTTAAAATAATGAGCTGTCAAATTTTTGTTCTGCATCACCATTTATTCTAAACTCCTTTTATGCTTTTGAACAGAGTTTTATAGTTTTGTTTTTATAGGTTCTGTAATTTTTCTTAAATTTACTTCTAGATGTTTGTGGTTGAAATTTTAAATAAGATTGTACGTTATAATTTAAAAGTTTATTGCTTGTATATTAAAAAGCTGTTGATGTGCATTTATTGAAGGCAACTGATAGTTTTTCAGATAATTCTCTAGTTTTACAGGATGAAATGTGGTTTATAAACCACATAAAAAATAGTTTGGATTATTTTCAATAATTGGATCTAATGTATTTTTCTTGCCTGGATACATTAGCTATAACTTTAATAATAATATTTAATGATTGTTGTAATAAACAATAATATTTAATGTCAGTTTTTCTCATAAAATACAAAACTGAGAGGAATCCTTTAGTGTTTATTTTGTATTATTATTTAAACCAGTGCTTCTCCACTAATGGTTATACCATCCAAATAAATAGCATTAATTTAAAAGAAGTATCCTTGTAGTCTTCATTTACTGTTTATTCCAAGAATGTTTGCTGAATTTCATTAAACGTATTTCCATTTTGTGCCAAATTGGTCATGTTCTTAATCTTCACATCTGGTATTAAGGTAAATTATATGAATGGATTATTTCATTTCAAATTATCTTTGTTCACTTGAATGAAACACATTCAAACATAGCTTGCTTTGTTGCTTTTTTACTCATGACTTTTACATTCTATTTGGATGTTGTCTCAGTTTTCTTTTTTTTTTTTAGCTATTTTTAGTAGCTATAAACAAGTATAAAGATTATTTTATGCCTGTTCCCTTAAATTAATTGGGAATAGATTATATAGCATAGGAATTATTTGATATTCAACTGATTGGAAGAATATGGTATAAATTTATGTGAGCCAAATATACTTCTGGAGATAAATCTTTGATAAATTTATATCTTTCACTGTTTCTGGTTCTTTATGTTTTATTCTTCTCTAGCCAATAATGATAACTCTAAATTATCATTAAAAATTCCTTTTTATAAAGTATTTTTCTCAAAAATGTTAAAGTTGCACTATATACACTTATATTTTTTACATTATAACTGTAACCTATTCTGTACATATATTTGAACTGTCATTTCTCATTTTATATATTGGGGTTTTCTTGGTATGATTAAAGTTACTAGAGATTAAACCACTACCTCTTTTTAAAAATTTAATCTTACGAATTTTCTACTTTCTATTTCACCAATTTCCACCTTTTTCTTGCATCAATTGAGTTCATTAGACTTGTGGGTTATTTTGTTTCTAATTTCTCATATTGACAGTTATTCTTCTTTGTTTAGAAGAATTCTCATTGTTTAGAATAATTGTCAATATGAAAACTGTCAATAAGAAAAGTTTGTTTGCTTATTCAATCACAAAAGCATTGAATGTGATGGCATGTTTTACAGTATCTTGTATGCTATACTCTCATTATTGTTATTTCCCAGCTATTCTGTTGGTAAAGTTTTGATGTTTTCTTGGGTATAAAAGTTATTTAGAAAATAATTTATTATACCTTTTTTTCTTGTAAGAAATTAAGATTGTTGGTTTATATTTTATTTTAATCTCTATGTTTATTATATTGTGATCACACACTATCATTAAAATTTATTAAGGTTGTAATTATGGATATATATTTTTTTAAGTAAAGGAGTAGTTTGATATATAAATTAAATTTCTTTTATTATATTACTCATGTTCTTCATATTTTCTTTACCTTTTTTAACCTAATTAAAAGATTTGGAACTGAAAGAGGTAAATAAATATCTTGGATTGTGATTTTTGTTTCTGTCAATTTCACCTTATATTTCCTAGAGATTAGCTTTATATTTCTATATTGTATTTATCTGCTGTAAAACTTTTCTGACTGTTAGGGTCTCGCTATGATTGAAGTCTTTACTAAAGTAAAGTACAATTATTTAACCAATTGAAACATTTGTTTTGATTTTTACATGTTTTGTTAATAATTTTGAGGCTCCTTTACTTTATTTTAGATGTCAATGATTTATTCTTATTCAATATTTAACTTTAAATTTCTCCTAATTGGTTTTAAGTTTTCCTCTGGTAAAAAAAAGTTATAATTACATTTTGACTTTTAACCCAATTTTTCTACATAGCATTATTTTTCACAAATATTTTGTTTTGTAACTGGTAAATGTATTCTTACTTTCTTATTTCTGTTTTTTTAAATATATCTTTTCGTTGCTTTTATTCTTTTACCATTTCATTTTCTTCTTTTCTTTTTAATTTACTATCTATTTTATGGTTTCTTTCATTTTTTCCCCTCTGGTGATTTGGAAAGTATATATAATATTCAAAATTCTAATAAAACAAATTAACTCATATTTACCTCCTATGGTTATAGTTCCAGATTTTTATCTGATAATTTTGAATGGTGAAGATTCGTTTATATGTCATATTTGCTAAACTATTATACACAGTTAATCAATCAAACACTAATCTAGGTGTTACTGTGAAGGTGTTTTGTCAATGTGGTTAACACAGTCAGTTGAGTTTAAGGAGATTAGGCCACCCAATAATGTGGGTGGGCCTCATCAATCAGTTGGAAGGCCTTAAAAGCAAAATTGAGATTTCCTTTGGGAAGAAGAAATTCTGCCTTAAGACTGCAAATCAGTTCTTCCGTACTTTGCAACGTGCTGGCCTGCTTACAAATTTCAAACTCTCCAACTCCCATAATTGTGTAAATCTATTCCTTGAAATATATCTCTTTATATATAAATGCATGTATATTAACATTTATTATATCTATTGTATAATTTATATACATATAACAGGTAGGATACACACATACACACACACACACAAGCACATAACCTACTGATTATGTATTTTTTGTATAAACAGAACCCTAACTAATACATTAACTTTTCAAATGTTATGTTATTTCTTTTACAAGAACAATTATTAGAATTTGTTTTAGGTTGGACGTGGTGGCTCATTCCTGCAATCCCAGGCCTTTGGGAGGCCAAGATGGGTGGATCACCTGAGGTCAGGAGTTCCAGATCAGCCTGACTGACATGGTAAAAAATCTCTACTAAAAATACAAAAATTAGCCTGGCATGGTGGTGTGTGCCTGTAATCCCAGCTACTTGGGAGGCTGAGGCAGGAAAATCGCTTGAACCCAGGAGGCAGAGATTGCAATGAGCCAAGATTGCACCATTGCACTCCATCCTGGGCAATAGAGTGACACTGCGTCTCAAAAAAAAAAAAAAAAAAAAAAGGAATTTGTTTTAATAACCATAGTTACACTATAATATTTAAATTATTTCAGTGCTTCTTAGTTATTTATATTATTCTCAAATTTTATTTCTGTTCCTGAATTTTCAATTTAGTTTAATCTCTTTATTTGAACACTGAATTTTCTTCCATTTTTCACATGTGAGTCTTAGCAGTGTGTCCAATTCTTTGGTCGCAATATCTTTTTTTCCTTAAACATTTATAGATGTGGCATCATGATCTTCCCACATGTGATGGTATAGAGGTGAATGCTAAGGCTAGAAAGCTTGATGTTCCTTTCCTTTATTTTTTGTTCACTCTATTTTTCTTATACTATGAAGATGATGTAATGAAGCAATCACTGTTCTTTATATTAATCTTTTCTTATAAAATGTAACTATTTTCATGTTTTCTATGTGTATTTCAGTTATAGTTTTCATTATTCTTTCTGTTGTAGTTATTCTGAGTTCTTATTAAAAAGGACATATTACCCATAGATAGCTTTTAGTTTTCTGATCTCTATTTCTAGTACTTTATCTTTTGTCATTTTCATTTCCTAGTCTGATCTTCTGTGTTCGAATAGGTCTCCATCAGTTTGTTCTTCATTTTACCCCTGCAGTTTGAGGCAGCAATGATTCTATCCTTTACTGCCTTCAATGCATTATTAAATTTCACAATATACTTCATATGTTTCTTCTCCCTCCTGTTTTATTTCTGTCTATATCTTAATGAGCTACCTTTTCAGCTTAGACATAGTATTCTCACCTCATACTTCACCTCTTATCTCATGGAATTCATGTATTTTAAGATTTTATGGACAGCAATAATTATGTATTATCTAAAATTTTCTCCTGGAATAAACTGTGTTCCTCTACTACCTTTTGCATGTTTTGTTGTCCTTCTGTTAGGCTATAGAGATATTTTTTAAATTCCGTATAATCGCTTCTTTTTCTACTTACTCATCCTTTAATTATAATGCTTAACCTAAAATTCAATTTCATATTGTAACAAAATCTCAAGCAGAAGCAACCTAAACAACCACCAAGCAAAAGCCCTAAGTTACTCTCATTCCTTACCTCTCATTTCCTGAGGCAATATCAGCTCCAAGATGTGTCCAGGAGTTCTTAGAATAAGCACTGTAAAGCTGAACTTTCCCATAAACCCCTGAAAATAAAAGGAGTAACATTTGGATAGAAAAATCCTTCAGAGGAATTAAAGCCAGGTAAGTAAAAGTCATTCTATAGGCTGTTGTGCAAACATGGGATATAGAATCTCTATATGAAGGTTCCATATTATCAAAAGCATTATCTAAATGCTCTATTTTACAATACTAAGATATATCTCACATGGCTATGAAACTTATTCTCTCAAATGCTATAGAAAAAAGAATGCTACGCCACATCATAATAATCTAAAAGGTGGGAAGCAGACTACTCTAATGACTAAAGTTGAAGAGGTACTCCTTTCCACTCTTGATGTGACTCCAAACCATTTGCAGTTCTTTTGGAAGTTAACCAGTTTTGGTATTTTTTGTTATACACTAGGTTCTCCAGAAGCATGGTTAATTTTATTTCCTTAGGATAGAGTTTTGGAGCTATTAGCTTTATGTTTAGTGGCTGGACTTAATATTTTGTCTCATATCAAGGGAGAGATTTCTAAGTCCTTTGTTTCAAAATGCAATTTATTTCAGACTCATAAATTAAAGTCTTACCAGGAACGTGCTTGATATAGCCCAGTTTTATTTTTTCATGTCTTTCCTCTTACATATTTTATTGCCATTTCCAACCATAATTCCTCATATTCTAGTGGTTTAAAAATGTTTTGACCATAAAACTCACCAGTAAAAGAAAAAACATGTGATCGTGTACTCTAAGCACATGTATATTTATTTTATTTACATAATTCAGATATTTATATTTAGATAAAAAATATACATATATATGAATATACTAATATATATTTGAATAGAAGTTCTAATATTTTATTCCTGCTTCCAAATGTATTGTCTGCATATCCCTGGATTGGTGCACACTATTTTATTGCAAGTCACCAATTTAAAATTTTTACAGTTTTCATCAGAAATCATAGAAATAAAAGAAGCAGGAAATCACTAAGGTACAAATAATATGCCTTGGGTTTTCATCTGATATGGACCGAAAAAAAATCCCAGTTAATTAGAATTTAACCAACTGTTTATATCAACATTCGTATCTTTTCCCCCACATATCAACTATGAAAATGTCAGAAGATAATAAAACTAAATCAGGATAAATGGATATAAAAAGAACCCCATTTTCAGGACGTGTCCTGAAACCAATCTTTCATAATAGCATTTATGTATTTCATAAGACATCATCACCCAAAACAAAAATCCATCTTTTTTCACTACAGGCTAAGTAAGCTAGGCTTAGAAGGATTCTGAAGTAATTTAAAGAGATTTCCAACCAAAACGTTTATAACAAAAAGCAGTTCATGTCCTTAAATTTGAATTATCCAGAAAATTCAATTGACCAGAAAAGTAGATTTCTTGGTCATTTCCAATCATCAAAGTTTACTGTAAAATGACACAATTTCTTAGTTGTTTCAAGAAGATTATAAATGATTTAATACGATTAAAATTTTTCATCTACTTATGATACTACAAAAATTTGAGCATGCAGTGAAAGAAATACTTCATTCTTTATTTCAATTTAGTATCAAAGAAAATTTCAAAGACACTAGTTTGACCATACGGCCCGGATCAGGGATCAGAGCAGACATCTGTGGATAGTCCTAACAGAAAGTTTGTTCCAGTATTATCACACTACAGAAAAGAGTGGATACCACAGGCAAAAGGAGATCAAATGTTCTTATAATAATCCATCTAGTCTGTCAACTTGGAAAACTTAGAACATTCTTGAACCTCTTATTGTTAGAAAGATAAAATAAATAGCATGCATGGAAAAAAACCCTTTGGAAACTATAAAGTGCTATCAAAGTATTATATGACAATGATTGTATATTATGGAACTAAGTTAACAAACTTCATACTATCTTAACATTTTTGTCTCCACTCTATTGAGTTACTGAGACCCAGAGAGGGAGCCACTGACTGCTAATGAATATTAAATTTATATCTCATAGTGTTCAGAAACCTCAGAAATGATGATCCTTGCTCTTTTTCCACAAGGTTAAATGGTTTACTTGAAAACCTCCAACACAGCAATGCATCTAAAGGAGAATCCAAGGAAATTAACAACCAATTTTCTTTAAGAATGCTCGTATTTTTTTCTTTTAATTTTTTTCTCATTTATATAATAGTTGAAATAAGTTCACTATACTTTATTATTCTTTTAGATATTATACTGTCACATAGCTTAAATATAATAACATATTTATTACTCTTTTAGATATTGTATTGTCACACAGCTTAAGTACGTTATTATATTATAATAACCACACAGCTTTATAGTGTCAGCATTTGGATTAAGATTATTATATTATAATAACATATTTAAGCTATGTGACAATAAAATATCTAAAAGAGTAATAAAGTATAGTGAACTTATTTCAACTATTAAATAAGTGAGGGAAAAATAACTAAAAAAAATGAACATTCTTGAAGAAAATTGCTTCATGCCAAGAGTTATCCCTCTTTACTTATAAAATTAGTAATGCCCATATAGAGAAAGTGGGAAAATACTTAGAATCTGGTGAACATTCTCTTATTCCTCAAAACTGAGTTAGTTGGGGATACATACATATGGTTATACAAGCCCAGTCCCAGTTTCTGTACTTTTACATAGATCAATTTAAAATAGGATTTGATATTGTGGCAATAACAAATAAAGAAATTGTCAACAGTGAATGTTTCTTATTAATGTATAGATCAGTTGTATAAATGTATCAATAATAGAGTAGTATTTATAGTTGATAATACTGACTCAGTCAAAATTTTAGTGTCTGACTAATCTGGATCTTAATCCAAATGCTGACACTATAAAGCTGTGTGGCTTTCTGCATGTCGTTCATCATCTCTGAGTCTTAGTTTTGACATCTCTAAAATGGACACTGCTCACAAGAGAGCTGGTAAGTAAAATAATAAATATAAATTACCTAAAAGAGTGTTTCGAATTTAGCATATGTTCTATGAATAGTATTTCTCTATAAGATACAAACACACAATACACACACAGGCATTTTATTTTTAATGAAAACTATATTATACTCTTACCAATTGTTCCTGGGTCAATATGAATTCCATTCAAACGATCACAAAAGACTCCCTCTGAGGCTCTAAGGAGAATCAGAAGCTTTTGTTCCTTTTCTAAGGGATTTTCTAAAGTACCTGTTTACAAAGAAAAGTATATCATTCAAATTAATTTGAAATTAAAAGAAAGAGAGGGAGAAATTGAGGTATAATTTCAAGAATGCAATGTAGATACTGTAAAATAGACTATATGGAGGAATCAGTGATTATGTAAATGAAATAAGAATAGGAAAAACAAAAGATTCACTAAACGTCTCTGAAGGAGACTCATGTATTATTCACCAGATATTCACTCTTCTTTCTTCATTAAGGCAGCGTAAACTTTCCTGACCAACTAATATTTATCCTGGTCATATGACTTGCTTTGGCCAGTGAAATTTGTGTGAAAGTGATAGGAATATCAGTTCTCAGTTGATGCTTCAAGGGACTTGGCAAGTTGTTTTGTTTTGTTCTATTTTGTTTTTTACCAGATTTCTTTCCATGTTGTTCTCTACCATGAATGGAAAATTCCTTAAATAGCCTCTGGTATCTGAATGAAGAGACATACAGAGCAAAACTGAATAGAACACACAAGATGGAGCCAAGTCCAACCAAGTCTAACATAAACATTTCTTGATGCAAACCACTGAGATTTGGGGATTATTTGTTACACACCATTATTATGGCAAACCTGCCTGATACACTGTCTATGGCTAGATAAACTTCAAATTTCTTTATATGCATCTTAACATTTACTCCTCACAACAAACCTGAGAAGTCAGTATAATTATTATCCCAGTTTTAAAAAATTGCACATAAAGAGTCTTAAAGGTTAAGGGACTTGTCTAAATTGATCCAACTATTAAGTAATAGAATCTATTTTAACAAAGATCTGTTTATGCTAAGTGTTTATTTAACAAATAAGAGGTTATTTTCTAAAACTAAATTCTTTTAGCAGCATAAAGACTCATAAAGACATAAGGCTGTGATACTCAGACAGCAGTTGGAATTGTTTCTGACCTTATTTTATTGATGTTAACAGTGGAGTTTGGTATGAAAATTCATACTTCTACGGTAAGATAATTGTTCAGGGAATTTGTCAAAATAGTGTTAGTGACTATGGACCTAAGGAAGGTTAGTCTCTTTGGAAAATATGTCTTGGAGTACAAAAATATTAAAGTTATTAAAGTCAGGTTTTTAAGAAATAACTGGTCCAGGCACGGTGGCTCATGCCTGTAATTCCAGCATTTTGGGAGGCCGAGGCGGGCGGATCGCGAAGTCAGGAGATCGAGACCATTCTGACTAACACGGTGAAACCCCGTCTCTACTAAAAATACAAAAAATTAGCCGGGCGAGGTGGCGGGCGCCTGTAGTCCCAGCTACTCGCGAGGCTGAGGCAGGAGAACAGCGTGAACCCGGAAGGCGGAGCTTGCAGTGAGCTGAGATCACGGCACTGCACTCCAGCCTGGGCGACAGAGCGAGACTCTGTCTCAAAAAAAAAAAAGAAAAGAAAAAAAGAAAAAGAAATAACTGTTGGGAAGGTAATCCCCAAATTACATACCAAATCAGACAGATTCATAAAAACCACCGGCTATCAAATGCGTCTTCCCAGTTTATAAATTCCCGAAAAGATAACCAAAAATGACATTGTTAAATACAATGTGAAATAACTAGCAAACTTACAATTGCCTGGTTTTCATCTTAGTTGCTGGTCTTTCGAGCAACATAAAATCATCCCCTCTAGCTGACACTTCCTATATACCTGGTTAGCCAAAAGGCACAGGTAAGTCTGAAGCTTGCTACATACCTATCTTTATAGTTCAGCCTTCACTGCCATTATTCCAGTACTCTGCTGAAAGCAAGATTCAGAGAGGTAAGTAAATCTGCCTAGAGGCATATAGTAGGTCAGTGGGTGAGCAAGCCTATATATTTCCAATAATATGCAAAGATGTGTTGCTCCTCTGTGTAGGTAATGAAACTCCTCAGCTGAGAGCCTGATGCATCATCTTAGTGAAAATAAAGATGTGCTAGAGTAGAAAGAAGGGAAGCAGGGGAGGATGAAAATGTTCAGTAAATGTGTATAGCGTAGCAGTTATCTTGCCGTTACAAGTCTGTCCAGTAAGCTGTTTTCCAACTGTGATTTCATTTATTTCACGGAGGGTAGTTTAGAGTCTTTGGGGGAAAAAAAATGGCCTAGCACTAAAGAGATACCAGAGAGAAAAAAAGTAGGACAGTTTTTGCCCTAGAGAAACATATGCAGAGTCCTACAAAAAGAGTTCAGCGTTCCTCTAAAATTAGAGATTAAATCAATTATGCAACCCAACACTGCAGCACATGTGGAGCTTTCGCAGAAAGTCTGGGCAAAATTAGTTAGCCTGCTGTGATCTTTTGGTATCTGCAATGGCCAGAATTTGGCTTCATTTTTGTAACTGAGGGAAAAAGAAAGATGGAGAATAGGGACTAAGTAGAAAGAAGGCAAAGGTGACCTAAGAGAAGGAAAAATGCTTCTTGAATGTGTAAAAGCTGATAAACGGAAAGGTTTAAAGGCTGAGATCCTCATTTTCTTCACAAATCTAGCAATCAAAGAAAGGTGAGGTGCTCTCTCCAGCATGGGCTTTGCCCCTAAATGAGGGTAGCCACTTCTGAGACAGAAGATGCTAAGGATATGCAGCTCATCCTTGGTTTACCTTTGTAAAGCTTCTCTAAACTATAGCAAGAGGCATATTAAATCTGGACAAATTTATGTATTCATAATGGGCACGAATATAATTGTCATTGTGCTGCAAAGACATTCTGGATGTTTCCACATGCACGATTTAATTCTCACAATTTTATGATGAATACAGTTGAGGTTCTGATGAGGAAACTGAGGCAAAGAGAGATTAAGTAGCTTGTCAGGAATCACATAACTGTTAAATGGCGAAGTTGGGCCTTAGACTTAATAAGTACCATCCTAGGACATGTGGATATGGAGGAACAGAAAAGAAGTAAAGGGAAGCAGACATTACTTTGTATAATGGTGGGCAGTGAAGGGGAAACAATGTGTTCCAGACGCTAAAATCACGTGAGATGGAAGAAAATGAGTTCTGGCATATGAAAGAGAATCATTATAATTATTTGGGGAATATGGTACAAATGGGTTCCAGGAACTTCAAAAGGTAAGAATAAGAAAAAAGGACATTTCCTTATTTTATTAACTAAAGCTCTTTGATGGAATCAAGTATAATCCTAGTTTGCACTTAAGCCCACTCTATCAACATGACTCACCAGACCTTGTACCAAGCCAACCCATAAGAAATTATTTACCCTTCCCTCAACTCACTCTCCTCTGTGCTCATGAGATTTCCCAGCGTTTACATGTTTTACCTTCATCTTAACTAACTTTGATTCATCCCGTAAAACTTGGTTCTACCATAATTTATTCCTGAAAGCCTTCTATGATCTTGAATTAGATGCCCCCTTTTGTGTGTAAAATGTTCTGTACCCCTTGCTAAAGTAATTCTACTTCAAGCAACTTGTCCTAAAGAACTTGTAGGGGACAAGGGCAAAGAATAATGCCCAAAGTTCTCCACATCAGTGTTATTTATTTATAATTGGCAACATTTAAAAACACCTTGAAATAGCAAACAACTAGAAATATTTTTGTCCATTTTAAACTCCTTCCTTTCTTCCCAGACTTTTTGACATACTTAATAGCTGAAATGTACAAGTCCCCAAGCAACCGTATACTCCCTTGCTTCTGCCGCTCTCTGCCTTCATTCCTGTTTTTGTCACGGCAACTCTTACATACTCTCAAACCCAGTTCAGATGCCATCTCTTCTGGAAAGGGCCTTGTCAACTAAGTCTGGGTTAAGTGACCTTCTAGGGGCTATCACAGAATGCCATGTTTTACCACAGTACTTCTAAAACTGTACTGTAAGGGCCATTTACCTGATTGCCTCCTTCTCTCAGTGAGCGCAAGAAGAAACTATGTACTCCCAGCAGAGTTTATCTGAAGATATTTTATTCCAGAAATGTTCAACTTGGTAATTTTTACCAACCCTCCTGGAGAAAACAATTGGAATAAAGAGAAATACCCCATAGTAATAAAAGACTAACTTCACCAGTAAATTACAACTTTTAAGCATTTATGTAGCTACCATTATAGCTTAAAAATATATACTGCAAAAATCAACAGGACTACAAGGACAAATGGATATACCTATAACACTTGTTGTAAAGCCAACACAACTGTTGTTAAAAAAAAAAAATACAGTAATGATACAGCAGTTTTGAATAATGCAATTTGCATATTTGACATAACAGGCATAGATGGAAAACTAGACCCACAAAGAATGTACATTCTTTTAAAGCATGCACAAAACATTTTTAAAAATTGATCATATGATAAAGCAGTTTAGCAAATTTTAAAAAATTGGAATTATAGAGCATTTGTTTTCTGACCATAGTTCCATCAAAATTTAAAATTCGTAACAAAAAAATTTCAAAAGTAAGCTATATTAATTTTTCCAATTATCAAAGAATACCATTAAGAAAGTAAAAAAGCAGCTGGATGTGGTGGCTCATGCCTTTAATCCTAACACTTTGGGAGGCCGAGGCAGGCGGATCACAAGGTCAAGAGATCTAGACCATCCTGGCCAACATGGTGAAACCTTGTCTCTACTAAAAATACAAAAATTAGCTGGGCATGGTCCCACACACCTGTAGTCCCAGCTAATCAAGAGGCTGAGGCAGGAGAATAGCTTGAATCCCTGTCGTGGAGGTTGCAGTGAGCCAAGATCGCGCCACACTGCACTCCAGTCTGGTGACAGAGTGAGACTCCATCTCAAAGGAATTAAAAAAAAGAAAAAAGAAAGTAAAAAAGCAAGCCACAGAGTGGGACAAGATATTTGTACTACATATAACCGACAAAAGATACATTCCAAAATATATAAATAACTTCGGTAAATAAATATAAAACAGGTACATTCATCATTAAAAAAGAGTAAGAGAACAGCTATTTTACAAAACAAGATACTCTCAAATAAATAATAAATACATTCTACTATGCTCAATCATATCATAAAAAAGAAATAAAAATTAAAACAAGAATGAGATCT